ATGGTACAGGCATTCGCTGGCATCACAGTGGCTGTGCCTCTGGAGAACTGGTGGGTCATATTCCATCGTATTTTGTCCTCTGTAAGAGAAGGGAGAGGAAGTGATGTGCCCTTGGTCCCCCTATTGTAATTTCAACAGTATCCCTTCTGTTCCACCCCAGTCCTCTTTCCAGCTTTTCCATGAAGCTGGGGCACATGTTCATATATGACAGCTAAGGCCCAGGCCTGCTGAGACATTCCCTGAGCCGGCCCAGCATTGCAGCCTTAGTGTCAGCCTAACGGTCAGAGAACACCAACCTGGCAGGGATTTGGATCCCCATGGTGGACATTTCCAAATGGAATAGATCTTCGTCTCGACAGACGGGGCACTGGAAGCCCACAGCACCAACAGTGAAGGCCTGTAGCTGCAGAAGAATCACAAGCAGGGTGAACATTTGTGGTGCCTGCTGCTGCTGATCAACATGTGTATCTGCAGGATAGGGGAGGGCTTCTACCTGGATGCAGTCCCGGTGGAACCAGGCATGTTTACATGCTGGGCACACCAGTCTGTGGTAGGCTGTGCTGTCCCCCACAGGCTCAAGGCAGATGAGGCAGTTGATGTCATGTTCTGGATCTTCCTGAACTGCCTGTCGAGGCCGGTGCTTGCAGCAGTAGGAACTGGTGGGAAAATGGAAGGGATGGCATTGTGAGAAGTGCTCTGAGAAGGGCAGCGGACCAAGGAGTCCCATGCCCTGGCTTTACTTCTGGAGGCATAAGTGCAGTTTCCTCCCTGGCTTGGCTGCTGCTGACAGCCCTTACCTGTGCATCCCAAAGAACTGGGTGACACATTCCCCTTCCACAGCACAGGGCAGATGGAAGCTTCGTTCACAGTCACTCTCTGCACACGTGATGGCAGCCCCCCTCTCACCACAAACAAAGCATTGCTGGAAAAAGCAGAACAGCCCCATCAGCGGCAGGCTCAGTGCCTGCACAGCCGGCCCCATGCAACTCAACTAAGCACAGACTGTGGGTATTTCTGTGTTACGTTCTCCAGAGCTGCCTGGTAGACAAGGTTTGTCTGCTGTGACAGGACTTTGTCCTGGAGCCAGTTGCAGTGGCTGCATTTGCTTTCTTTGGCTCCAGACTAAACTTGTATGAGCCTCCCCTGGCACAAATCTGCCTGCTTTGTTCAGGTCCTCACCTTCTGGGTTGCCTGCTTGACCTTGCGTGTGATGGCAGCAAGGGAAAACCCCAAAATTCCCAACAGAAAGTTGTCTTCTTGATAAAGGCCGGTGGCAAAAAGCTTTTAAAAGAGAAAAGAAGAAATTAATATTTTCTGAACTTAAAGAGGGGAGATTTATCTTAGAACAAGATTGAACTTCCACAACAAGAAGCCAGTCCATGATACTATGATTCTTTGAAATTACAAATCTGTAAAGTTCTCATTAGGACAGAATGGAAGAGACCATTACTTGTGGGAATCCAAAAGGAGTCCCAGGGGAACTCACCAGGCAAAATGAATGGACACGAATCCCGTTCTTCTGACAAAGATACCCTACGATGTCCGGGTCAACATCCGACCGGCCACACAGCACGCACACTGGAGAGGAGAGAGCAAATGTGAGCAGTGGTGAGCAGCTGGCGGGGCCAGATATCCCTGGGGGTCATCCCCGGGGTCGTGCTCTGTGCCTAACATGCTGTCTGGAGGTGGTGGAGAGGAAGAGGCCCTGGCAGGCCCAATGGTGCTAGCAGGAAGCCATAGCCCAAGCTGCATCCCCTTGCCAAGGAGCAGAGGGGTCGTGCCTTGCAGCAGTTGGGGAGTCCCCGCCTGCTTCTTCTATCTCAGCCACAGTCAGACCCACAGCACTTCTCCGCCCTTCTGTGGGAGCTGCAGGGATGCTTTGCACTCACCTGGCTCCTCCAAGCTGGAGGCTTTCCTCTTCCTATCAGACATTATGTGCTTCAACAGTGAAGACTGCAGGAGAGTCTGCTCTCTCTGTGCCTCACCAAGCTGCACTGACGCTTGGCCTGAGCCCAGCAGCCTTTGCTCTGCTCCCAGCCCTGCGGGTCACAATGGCCGCTCTGTGACACCCACTGTGACATCATGGTCGCTGC